TGCTTGATCTTGAACTTCCCATCCTCCAGAAATGTGAGAAATATATCTGTGTTGTTTGTAAGCTACCCAGTTTTTGGTATTTTGTTATAGCAGCCCAGATAGACTAAAACGTCCACCTGGCTATTCATTCATTTCAGGCTTCCAATGTGGAAGTCACTAACACAGTTGAGACAGGACATGCAACAGCAATCCATAATCAAGTTTTTCAGTTCCATCCATACAATAGACATAAGTAACCCAAGGAACATAAACAATAGTAAATACAGTAAAATATTTCAGAAATAATGAATGTGTGGTATGTAATGGCTTCATTTCTAATATAATTTTTAAGTGGTAAGTTTATATAATTTAACATTTATAATGGCTGTGTTTAAATCAGGCTTACAAAATTTCTGAAAATTTAGCTATTAGTTCTCCCAAGCCAGTATGAGCTGGCTTTAGTAAACCATTGATGGGAATAGTTATTTCAATTCCCCACTTAACTTTGATGTACTGAGTTGGAACTTGATGTAAAGGATGACTAATCGTGACTGCGAGTGTATTGGAGGTCAATATATTGGATGAGAAACATAATTTTTGAAATGTTGACTATTAAGGACATAGCAGAAAAGAAACTCTGAAATAAAAGTTGCACTATAGAACTGTATTTGGAAAAAGTATAAATATTAGAATACTTTACATAATAAAACCAAGAAGAGATTATAGGAAAAAATAGAATGAGAAACATGATTTTGGGACTAAGAAACTTGTAGCTTGTTTGTGGGTATTTAGATTTAAAAGGGATTGTTGGATTACAGAATTCTTGTGTATCTTGTTCAAATAAAGATATATGACCACTGATTGACAACAGTAAATCAATTTTTATGCATTTGTGCATGAGTCTGTGTGTGGGGGAAATACGTGTTTTTAAATCTGGCATCTGTCAGGCCATATTTGAAATGCCCAGTTTTTATTAAGGATACTAAAAGATCTTGTGGAAAGATCTTTTCTAAGTAGAGCATGAAAACCTAGTAGACATTTTCTTTAGATTGCCTGATAATTTAAGATACATTTTTGTCTTTATGCCAAGAGAACTGGTTACTTTAAGAGCTAAGCCCTATATTGCTATGGCTTTTATTCACAAAGATTCCATTTACTGTATTGCTCTGGATTTTCTTATTCCTTTCTTGTTTTCAGAAAACCACAACAAACTATTTTTTTTTTTAGTTGAATAAAATAAAAGTAGAATGCCTCACTTTGGAGAGGAAAAGAATAGCTAAGGTTGAGCTTAAAGGAAAAAAATTACAAAAATATGCACCACAATGAAGCTTTGAAAATGAAGCCTTGAACAAATGAAATAATGACAATTTGTAAGTCAGGAGTCCAGAAGTTCTGTTTCATGATTTTGTTGCTGTTTAATTTTTTTTATATCTTTTTGCCATTGTTAAAAAAAAAAGCAGTCAGAACTTCAAAGGGACCCTGCATGTGTTCTGAATCAGGGCTTCAGAGCTGATGTCTGACAGCCCAGAAATTAAAACGAAATAAATATGCTGTTTTAATTCCTATATTTTTCTCCAATAACAACAACAACAAAATGACTTCTTCTCTATTTACAGTTTTTTCTTTGTTAACTTTAAAATTGTTTTCCTTTGGATATTTTCTCATTTACCAATTATGGGACTGAACCCTCAGAGTACAGAGTTCCTGTAGACTTCAGAGGGAATTTCAGGAAACTAGAGTAGATGTTAAGGCTTCACATCAGCCTTTGTGACTTTTTCTGTACATTAAAACATACCCTCCCCCATGCCGCACTGGAAAAAAAAAAAAGGAAAAAGACAAAGAACCTTAGTCGTTAGGCCATGCCCAAACACCTGCATTTGACTGTTCTTGCATTTTCTTGGGATGACGGAAGCAGACATCTCCAAAGAACAAAGAAAGGCTCAGGGATGGTTTGTGTTTGAAAGTGCACTAGCGTGAATATGAAATGTCAGTCACTAGCCAGAAATTTGGCAGCCATTTCTTGGAGTATTGAAGAGAGTAATTAGAGTTTGACCCACAGAGCTCTGTTATGTGGGGGTAGAGATGAATTGTTGACTAATGTAGAATCATAAATGCAAAGGTACTTTGATATCATCTGCAATAATTTCTTAGTTTTACAAATGAGAAAGTGAGGGCACTGTGTCTCAGGGTGGCAAAGTGTTTTGCTCAAAATAATACAGTTAGTAAAGTAGTGTAAAATTTTGACTAATTATATTATGTGGATAATGAGATAGAGAGAAGCTATTGGGCTTTATAGAGAAACTATTGAAACTTCAGGTAGAAGCTATTGAGCTTCAGAGAGGAACAGGCACATAAACACTTTGGATTTAGGTACAGCATTCTACCTGCCTAACAGCCATTACTCTGAAACACCTCTGCTTTTCTCATTTAATCAACGTTCACAAACAACCAAAAGGTGTAGATAAATAGAAGTAAAGGACTTGCTGACCATGTCTTCGCAAAGAAAAGAGAAAAGTAAAGCCACTCTGCGAAGATCGAAGATCGTAAGTTTAATGGGCTTGGGTTCTTTCTTTTCTCTCCCACAATGCAATCTCAACAGACTGCACATCTGGCCTGCAGAGCATCCTAGAATGTTTATTTCCAGAACCTAAGAGGCTCTCTTAAGTATTTCTGGGGAAGAGTCCACGTTTTATTGATGTTAAAATACATTCTGAGAGTATATTGTGCTCAAACAGAGATGATAAACTTCAGTTTGCATATGCTCTTAGAAGTTCTGTGAATATTTGTGGTAGAGAGAAAATAGTAAACGTGAGCTGAAATGCTTTCAAAGCTGGCAAATAGGAAATCTTCTTATGTTTCTTAGGAAAGAGCACAGAGAAGGTCCAAACACTGATATCTCTGCTCAGACGCTGTCATGGTGTTTGCAGTCAGTCATGAGGAAGAACTCAGGATCAAGCATGGGCACTGCACAATTGAAGCATCCCTCTGGACCTCTGGACATGAATTTGAGAAAAACTGATACTGTTTTTTTCTGTAAATGCTACTGTGGTTATTTATTAGCTGATGTGCCAAGAATTAGGATATTGAACTGCTCTTTCAAAATCTCACAAATAAATTGAAAATAGAGAAGACATGTTTATATGAAAAAAAAGACAGTATCTCATTGTGCAAATTCTGCAAGCAAAAGGTGCAGTGATCAGAGACACTTATCTGAATGTTGTGGTGGGGGCAGCAGAGTTGCTCTTGTGTGATGAGTTAGACATAGATGAGAGAAGGAGGAAAAGCAGATGGAAAGGACATGAGTGAAGAGATCACATTTGTTCTCCAGCAACCATTTGCTGCTTTTAATGTGTCCTTGCATTTGGCAAAGTAAATAAATGCATTTTTTTCATGTATTCAACTTAACCTTGGCTATTATTATCCCCAATTTGCTGAAGAAGAAATAGAGATTCACAAAAATATGTCTGAGATGACACTGATGACAGTGAGAGGGATGAAATTCAGGCTCCAAAGTCTACGCTCTCATTAATACATGCTCCAGAAGGAAAGCCTATTTTGTGCAGTCATTTTGACAATAATGGTGTATTGGGGCCCTGATCACCAAACTGAGGAGTTTAAGCTCATTTGTCATTGAGTAGTTTGAGATAGAGTGTCATTAGCATTGATAGACATTAAGGTTTCACAATCTTGGATTACCGATTGGCCAAAGTAGGGACATCAGGAGGAAAAACTGAGGATGATGGATAATGGATTATATATAAACACATGCAATTTAAATCAAGTGGATGTGCAAAGAAATGCCTTTCTGGCAATTTCTGATTGGAGACAAGGGCTAGAAAAGGAGAGTAGGAAGAGTAGGAGATTTCAGTCTTTGGTTCGGTGATAATGGATATAACTGTGACAGTGAAAACATTCACTGAGGGACCATGTTTGCAAAGGGAGAATGGAGTGCTGAGGCCATAGTCTTTCTGGAGTACCTACGTTTCTCAGGTGGAAGGAGGCAGAGAATTTGACAGCTTGACATGGGGAAAAGGAGAAGAAAGGGGGAAATCCAAGAATGTGATGGCACTTGGCCAGGTGAGAGGAGTGTTTCATAAAGCAAGGGAGATAAAACTATTAATAATAGAATATTATTAAAGAAATATTTTATATAGTACACTTAATATATAATATTTGTGGCTTTTCCTACTTAGGAATAGACTTAAGCATTTTGGACTTTTTGAAGGTGATCATTAAAAGTTGCCCCTAAGTTAAGCCACCAAAATCACACAGTCTTACTACCTTTTCACGTTTATTGTCTGTCTCTCCTCCACTAAAAGGTTAGTATACATACTCTTGCATAATGCATTCACATACAGTTTGACTGTATAGCCCTACAAATGGTGCTACCTCTATTGTTTTCAACAGAAAACAGTGAACCTGCTTTTCCTTGTTCCAAAGAACCTGTTTTTCGTAGTAGTTAAATGATGACAGTAGAATTAATGAGAGTTCTCCTTTTTAAAAACTTGGTTTTAATCTTAGGGGCCTGAACAATTGTTTTCTGTTAAGAATCACGGCCTCTCATATTTGGTTCTCTGGTTTGTTCAATATAGCCCAAGTTGCTTTTGTTTAGTAATATTACATGTTTCAGATCCTCTATGCAAATCAAACCTCTACCCCCCTTTTTTTTCATTGTACTTTATGTTCTGGGGTACAAGTGCAGATCATGCAGGGTTGTTGCATAAGTACATACATGGCAAGGTGGTTTGCTGCCTCTATTCCCCCATCATCTGTATTTGGCATTTCTCCCTATGTTATCCCTCCCCACCCTCCCTACCCCTGGCTGTCCCTCTCCTAGCCCCCCCCCACCCAACTGACCCCAGTATGTGATACTTGCCTCCCTGTGTCCACATGTTCTCATCTTTCAACACCCATCAATGAGTAAGAACATGCAGTGTTTGATTTTCTGTTCTTGTGTCGGTTTGCTGAGAATGATGGTTTCCATATTCATCTATGTCCCTACAAAGGACACAGATTCATTGTTTTTTATGTCTGAGTAGTATTCCATGGTGTATATTGCCACAGTTTCTTTGTCCAGTCTATCGTTGATGGGCATTCGGATTGGTTCCAGGTCTTTGCTATTGTACACAGTACCTCAGTGAACATACGAGTGCATGTGTCTCTTTAGTAGAACAACTTATAATCCTTTGGTTATATACCCAGTAATGAGATTGCTGGGTCAAATGGAATTTCTATTTCAAGATCCTTGAGGAATTGCCACACTGTCTTCCACAATGGTTGAACTAATTTACACTCCCACCAACAATGCAAAAATGTTCCTATTTCTCCCCATCTTCTCCAGCATCTGTTGTCTCCAGATTTTTTAATGATCACCATTCTAACTGGTGTGAGATGATATCTCAGTGTGGTTTTGATTTGCATTTATCTAATGACCAGTCATGATGAGCATCTTTTTCATATGTTTGTTGGCCTCATATGTCTTCTTTTGAGAAATGTCTGTTCATATCCTTCGCCCACTATTGAATTGGGTTGTTTGTTTTTTCTTGTAAATCTGTTTTAGTTCTTTGTATATTCTGGATATTAACCCTTTGTCAGATGGGTAGATTGCAAAAATTTTTTCTCATTCTGTTGGTTGCTGGTTTGCTCTAATGATTGTTTCTTTGTCTGTACAGAAGCTCTGAAGTTTAATTAGATCCCATTTGTCTATTTTCGCTTTTGCTGCCATTGCTTTTGGTGTTTTAGTCATAAAGTCCTTGCCTATGCCTATGTCCTGAATGATTTTGCCTAGGTTTTATTCCAGGGTTTTTATGGTGTTAGGTCTTACATTTAAATCTTTAATCCATCTGGATTTAATTTTAGTGTAAGGTGTCAGGAAGGGGTCCAGTTTCTGCTTTCACAAACCAGTAAGTCTGGAAGAAATGGATAAATTCCTGGACACTTGCACTCTCCCAAGACTAAACCAGGAAGAAGTTGAAACCCTAAATAGACCAATAACAAGGGCTGAAGTTGAGGCAGGAATTAATAGCCTGCTAACCAAATACAGTCCAGGGCCAGATGGGTTTACAGCTCAATTCTACCAGATGTACAAATAGGAGCTGGTACCATTTCTTCTGAAACTATTCCAAAGAAAACAAAAAGAGGGAATCCTCCCCAACTCATTTTGAGAGACCAACATCATCCTGATATCAAAACCTGGCAGAGATTCAACTAAAAAGGAAAACTTCAGACCGATATTCATAATGAACATCGACGTAAAAATCTTCAATAAAATACTGGCAAACCAAATGCAACAGCACTTCAAAAAGCTAATTCATCTTGATCAAGTAGGTTTCATCCAGGGATGCAAGGCTGGTTCAATATATGAAAGTCTATAAACATAATCCATCACATAAAATGAACCAAAGACAAAAACCACATGATTATCTCAGTCGATACAGAGAAGACCTTTGACAAAATTCAACAGCCATTCATGCTAAAAACTCTCAGTAAACTAGGTACAGAATGTATCACAAAATAATAAAAGCTATTTATGACAAACACACAGTCAATATCATACTGAATGGGCAAAAACTGGAAGCATTCCCTTTGAAATCAGGTACTAGACAGGCACTCTCTCACCACTCCTATTCAATATAGTTTTGGAAGTTCTAGCCAGAACAGTCAGGCAAGAAAAATAAGTAAAGGTATTCAATTAGGAAAGGAGGAAGTCAAATTGTCTCTATTTGCAGATGACAAGATTGTATATTTAGAAGACCCCATTGTCTCAGCCCAGAATCTCCTTAAGCTGATAAGCAACTTGAGCAAAGTCTCAGGATACAACATCAATGTGCAGAAATCACAAGCATTCCTATACAGCAATAACAGACTAACAGCCAAATCATGAGTGAACTCCCATTCACAATTGCTACAAAGAGAATAAAATATCTAGGAATACAACTAACAAAGGATGTAAAGGACTTCTTTAAGGAGAACTACAAACCACTGCTCAAGGAAATAAGAGAGGACACAAACAGATGGAGAAACCTTCCATGCTCATCATTAGGAAGAATCGATATTGTGAAAATGGCCATACTGCCCAAAGTAATTTATAGATTCAATGGTATCCCCATCAAGCTACCAATCTGGAGAAATCCACTTTAAACTTCATATGGAACCAAAAGAGAGCCAGCATAGCCAAGACAATGGTAAGCAAAAAGAACAAAGCAGCAGACATCATACTGCCTGACTTATACTATAAGGCTACAGTAATCAAAACAGCATGGTACTGGTACCAAAGCAGAGACATAGACCAATGGAACAGAACAGAGGCCTCAGAAGCAACACTACACATCTACAACCATCAGATCTTTGACAGACCAGACAAAAGCAATAGGGAAAGGATTCCCTGTTTAACAAATAGTGTTGGGAAAACTGGCTAGCCATGTGCAGAAAACCTCTGCCCTTTTAAGTTGTTGGTAATAAAGAGGTAAGTACAACATAGAAAACTTTTTTTTCAATAAATACTTGAGTTAATCAATAATACGCCACAACTAATGTAAAGGCCTAATTATAAAGAATAGCCAGTGTACTTCAAGGAAAATTGATGATTATCAGAAACAAAAAGTCAGAAGGGCACTTATGTGTGTGTCATTTTGCAAATTATCATTTCCAAGGAGTCGCCCCTTATCGTGATACCTAAACTATTTACTATTTTTGGAAGGTTTTCTTCATGTTGACGTTTAACTCTTTATAAGTCATCATAAAGGTAACCAATATGGTGGTAAGCAGTTTTGTGTTAAATGTGAGTACATAGTTTCCTTTAGGAATATATTTTGTGAGAGCCAGGACACAATTCCATTTGAGAAATCTTCCTAGAGAAGAAAAATTGTTGTATCTTTCTAGAATTAACAAGCAGTTATGTAAGTCTTACAGTGTTGATAGTTTTCTATGAGTTTTACAAGTATTTGCATTTAATGTTGAGATGTTTGTCTCCCAGATCTAAAGCTACCTGATAAAAATAACCCACTGACATAAATTCATTGTTTCAAAGAAGATTTCACAGGATTAGACGGAATAAGAAAAGAGAACTAGAAAGGGAAGTTGGGATGCAGGGGAGAAGTAAAAGACCAGGATGAAATGCTACCTCCCACACAATTTCATGGAAGTCCAGACCTGGAGTAAAAATGTATTCTATTATTTATCTTGTTGATAAATCAAAACTGGACCTGTTTTTTGTTTCTGTTTTGGTAGTTAGGCTTAAGTTGTTGCCTACTACAAAGTTATAAAAGTTGTCAAAGGATCAACTGAAATTACACAGCTAGAAGGAAGCCTTCAAGATTTTGTAGTCAGATGACCTTCAAACCTCATTGCAGGTAGAAAGACCTCAGTGAGAAACTCAAACCTCAATAAAGGAACTTACTTTAAATGCAGAGATTTAGATTCAAACTTGGTCTGGGAGGAGGCTCATGAATCTGCATTTTAACAAACACCCAGGTGATTCTGACTAACTAGAGGTTAACCCCACTTTAAGAAATATGATTTAATCTAACACATATATTTGACTCTTAGAGAAACAAAGCCCAGAGATGGAAATTGGCAAGTTCAATTATTCAGTAGGTTATAGAACCAGAGCTAGATTTAATTGTTAATATCATTTGTAATTATTGTTTCATATTATGCAAATTCAGAATCATTGGTGCCACCCTGGCTCTGTTGCTGATTCTTCACAAAGTAGGCTAGATAATTTTCCTAAGCAGTTAATATTTTTATGGTAATAAAAATCAACAAATGCCTAGACCTCTTTAAGCAGCTGGAAGAGAACACCTGGGTATCTCCTAAGATAAGAAATGTCTCTTCAGTGAATTTGTCTGAAGTTGGAAATTATTATGATGAGTTACACAACTCTTTTGACACATAGTGATGAGGATAAAAGCTTTATTCCCTTAATAGTCACTTTGAATTTCTTTTGTCCCCCATTATTAATTAGGTAATTTTGAACACCCAGTCGCTATGTTTTCTGAAGCTATAACACTTGTGATTGGGATAAGTGAAATGCTGATGGTCCCACTTTAATAAAGTTTTACATTTTTAGTCTTACAGATCTGTCCATTAATATCCAGATTCTGAAATTTTAACTATGTTTGAAAAATCTGAACTCACAGTCTATGGGTAGTCTATTCCAGCTATAGACCCGACAGCTGCATCTCTCTAGTGTATTCCAGCTAGACTCCCAGCCTAATGCATCTGTGAGCTTCCTTGGTTTGAAAAGTAGTTGCCTAATCTCATTACAGACCCTTGTTGAAAGACATCCATGACCTCCCAATTCAATGATTCTAGAATGGCCAGCATTGTGCTTTTTATTTATTGTGGTACGTACCCAGCTATTCCCTAAAGTCCTAGCAACTCCTCGTTATCTTTTATCTCCCTATTGTGAATCTGTCCTCTGCTTACCTCACTTTCTCATCATTCAGTTCCACAATCTTGTCATCTTCTTTTAGATCCCCGAAGTGTCTTGAAGTGTTTGACCTAAAATGTCACCGCCCTCCCCAAAATACTTTATCTTTACCATTATGAAGGTTTTATAGCATTTTATATAAGTTGGATATTGGGCCTCATTCACAAATAAACTATGACTTAAGATGCAAGACCTCTGGCATAATCAAGGGAAGACTCCCTTTTCATGTCCCACACCTCCAACTTTTGAAAGTAGGAAAATCATGCAAGATAAAAATCATGATGCAATATGCTATGGCATATTTAATGTTCTTCCCCAAAGAATGATAGTTATATGGAAATATTTCATGGAAATTTGAGACAGTCTTTATTTTCTTTGAATAATTTTTTTAAATAGCAGGTGGAAATAGACTAAAACAAAACAAAACCACTGTGATAAATATTTGAAAAGAAACCTTTGTTTTATCCATATTGACAGGTTGAATCATGGTATTTGTAAAGATGGTGTAGGATCTTGGCCAAGTTTGTACTGCAGATATTCTGCTCTGGTGTTGGAGAATTGCCTGCTTTAAAAAAAGAGGAGGAAAAAACTACCCTAACTATGCTGTTGGGCTTATTAGATTCTTATGAAGTTTGCTAAATTTTATGTTTTCTTTTGCAAATAATCTTTAAGAATTTCAGTTAAATGGTGATTTATTTAAAAAATCATCAATAACAAATATGTAATAGAAGCTTATGTGTCATGGAATTCTTAATCTTTAACAAATACATTTAGAGCCATTTCATGTTTATTTAACATACAGTTGCTGTCTAATTTAATCTAAATTAAATGATTGCTTGAAACCTATAATTTGAGGGTTCCTGAACCTCAACTTATGGCAGGAAAAATAAGAAGTCAACAGTTTTGCCCAGAAGGTAGATACTTATCTTTTAAAATCAGGTATTTTGCTCTTGGAATTAAAAACCCAGGTCATTTTGCATATGCAATTCCAAGGAATGTTTTTGGCAATGAGACATGTCTCTGTTTTCCTTAGAAGGCAATAATTTGTTTTTCTAGCGTTTAACAAACCTGTATAATTTAGCTAGCACTTTAAACATGATATTATCATCTGTTTATGAGGAGTAGACACATTGATATTCAATAGTAATGTTTTTGTTTTAAAGACCAGATAACTTACTGTGTGTCGGGTACTATGCTACCTGAAAATATCAATTTATAAAAGGCAATTAGGTATGAAGTAACCATGAGGATGAGTATGGTAAATCATTTTTGGCAATGGTTAATTATAAGTGTTGCTGTGGCCGTCATAACCTGAGTTGAATTTGGTGAGTACCGCCATGAATTAATGCTATGCTCAAGTTAAAATGCAAGCTTAGATACAAAGGTTAATTTGAAAAGGAATTAGTTTTTTGAGGGAGTGACATATTTCCTTTTCAAACTGCAAAATAGCAAAAAAAATTGAAGTGGATATTTCTATTTCTGAGAATCAGTTTTAAATAATGTAAGTTATAGCTTGAGGAAGAAGAATGGGTTACAATCATTAACATTTGAGGATTGTTTTTCAGTGATTGGCACTGTGATTGTAGTACTAATACATTAAATTTGCACTTCAATATTACTTAGATTTAGCCACAGAATTGTGGTTTGGATGACAGGTACCAAGGTCAACTGACCCAACCTCTTATCCCAACTTTGTCACTGATTGACCTTTGTTGCTTGGGCAAGTTAATTTTCTTATTACTTGGGCAGTTGTGTGATGAATAAATGAGATAATGCATTTCAAACACTTCGCATGGGTGACTGGTTATATTAGCTCTCACTAGGAAAAGGGTAATGAACACCTTTTCTTGGCTCATAACTATGTCTTCATTGCCAGCACAGTTCCTTGGTCACATAGTAGCTTCTCAACAGGTATCTCTTAAATAAATGGATCTGCCACAATTATTTTTTGACTCCTCCTGAAGACACGGTGTTTTGGTTTTACCCTGTGTAAAACTAAGTCAATGAAGTTTTGTATAAGTTAATTTTTTTTAGTTAAATAAGTCTTTTTTTCTCATAGACCTAGGTAAGAAAGAGTTTGTGGCCAGAAAGACTTGAGACTTATTCATTTGTTGTATTATATTTATTTGGACTTGAACTTCTTCCCCGGATATCTCTCACTCCTCACCCTCATCTTTGATCATAATTTTCCACTTATTTGTCTTTTTAAAAACATTCTTTAAAAAGAAAAATAGATATTTTATAGCAGTTATATCATAAAAGCATAAAGTTTTTCATGTTTTTCTTTTTTTTCTTAATTTTTCCTCAAAAAATTGTTCCCTAGTATCACTATGGGCCCTGAATTTTTTAAAAGTTGGGTATTATGGTTAAGAGCATGGACTCCAAAGTTAGAAATTTAAAACCCTGCTTCTGCTGTTTTATCTTGGATAAACTTCTCTGTGTTTGATTTCTCATCTCTAAAATGAGAATAATGGTAATACCTCTTCCTTAACTTTTTGTGCATTAAATAAGTTGTAAAGTGTTCACTATATAGCATACCTTGCAGTAAGCTGCATATAACCTTTAGCTATTATCACACATTGAGCCGGGACAATAAAGCCTGCCTCAGCCATCTCGACTATTTATTCATCAGTAATTTCATTAACATTTACTAGAAATGCCAATACTGTCCTAGGCACTAGATATACAAAGTCTGGTAAGATGTGGTCCCTTATAGCCTAGGAGTGTGGAATGACAGATTAAGAACTACAGAGGACAAAAACGCGTGTGAAGGCAGCACATAGGAATACATCTACATT